AGCAGCCGTTAGAGTGGCCTCCTTTGCGCCACTACTCTGTTTATAGCGATTCAGACTAACCATAAAATACAAATTTCAAGTGTCTTTAAATTTTAAAACCTATTTATGCTTTAAATGATTGTTTTTTTTAATTACTTATATATAATTAAATGAAATCGATATATAATTGTGTAATTATTTCGTTTACAAAGAACTATTCATATAAATAAATGCCTTTTAATTGAAACCATTTTCAGTACACAGTATGTTATCTAAACATTGCACTTAACAACAATATATTTGTTGTTTCTGCTCAACATTTTACCGACAATATTAGTGAATTTAGTTAACTGTTTGAATCTAATACTAAAAATAGTGTATATTTGGTATCAAATTAATCATTGCTTTTATAAAACGCATACATGTGTCATATCCTCGTAGAAAAGCAGTGCTATTATATGAATTGGCATTTAAAATGTAGTCCTTGAATACCATTCCATTCACTCACATTAGAGTCTACCTCACGGACACATTAGGCAATCAGCTCTCTCTCTCTCTCTCTCTCTTTCTTTCTCTCTTTCTAGCGTCGAATTATTGAGTAAATAATTTAATTTAAACTTAAGAGTATTTTTTACAAAATGTGGATAAATATTAATATATTAAACATCTTTTATATAAATCTAATAAAAAGCGGAAACATTTCATAAATAAGTAGTCGAAGAATAAGTGGTTTTGATGGGCGATGTCTTGGTTCTGGTTCTGGGCTTAGGCTCGAGGTTCCCCTTGAGGTACGCGTAGTCGGAGTGCATTCGCGACAATTCATGGCAAGCGTTGGCCTGAAGTTTATCGCAATAATAGTTTTCACTGATTGTGAGCACAATATCGAGCAAAAAAGTGGCGTTCTTTTCGATGAACCGGTGCTCGGCTTTGAATTGCGGACTCTTTAGCGAACCGGCGATGTGTTTCATCTGAGCCTTGAATGTGGCCACTAAGGCGTCGACCACTAACTTCTTGGTCACAGAAGTGGACAGTTTTAGCAAATCTTTCATTGCATTCACGTATGATTTGGCAAATGTTGTCGAATTGGAGGTCAGATTAACCCAACACTCGTCGAACACAAACTGATCCATAGATGAGATGCCGTTCTCTTTCATGTCTTCCAAGAATTTGGAAATTTTCATTTTGTTGCGAAAGTTCTGCGAAAGCCATTTGTCTTCGACGGCACGCAATTTGATCGCTTCCAACAGTTTGTCTTTGATCTCATTAATGATACGCTCGACGTCTGTCTTGAGGTGTTTGTCTAAATAATAGACAAAATCCATACCAATGGAAGCTCTCATTTTGGTGCACTGATACCGGATTATGGCCACACATTCCGCCGCAACCGATGGCGACACTTGCGTTGTGAACACGTGTCTCGTGAAGAGACCGATAAAATGGTTGAGTTGATTGCGAGCCCACGAGACCAGACACGCCATCGACAGTGCGATCGACTGGCTCTGTGTTGGCGACAACTTATCGCAATTGACGCCCAAATGATCGTTCATCAGAGAGGAGGGAGGAGTGGCCACAAGTCCTCCATTGGACTGAATGGTCAGATCGAAAGCCTTTTGAAACTCTTTGGTGGTGTCGACGACATTATTGAAGAACACAGAACTCATGCGTTTGATGTACTGAAGTATCGCTCCGTCTATTTTTTGCTGCTTTAAACAGAACTTCAATAAAGCGCTCCTTTGGGTGAGGAATAGTTTGGTGGCCAACGAAGACTTTCCCAGTTTTAGTAGCAAACGAACCGAACGTCTCGAAGAACGCGGACCCGTTTGCAGTGACCGGTCGGGCGCTATCTGCAAGTCGTGAGTCAGAGCGTCGATCAGTTCTTTGATTCGGTGCTCTATTCGTAACTTTAAGTCCGTTTGCATTATATTATCACAACATTTGGGATAAACAGCGAAGTGTTCGTTCACTTTGAGGACGAGTCCGACCGCGTCCTCAAAATTGCGTTGAGCGACACAAACGTCCAGATCTTCGGGCAATTCTGTCAGCCATAGTGGCACTAATTCAGCGTCAGTTTCACCCACTTCTTCGAGCAGTTCCGCCTCTTCGAAGGGATTCAATATCGAAGAATACGGTCTATCGATAGGCGATTGCAGTGTTTTGCCGCCGACAGACGTTTGGTTCCCGTCGACACTTATACTCGAGATATACATCAGTGAATCTCTTCGTTGTAATGTCAGCGACGCCTTCCTCTGCTTCTTCGCCGCTTCAAACGCTTCCAACCATTGGTTTTTGGTTTGCTTTGAATCCGTGCGAAAGACTTTAGTCGTGGGAAACATCAATATCTTGAACGCCGTCTCGTTGTTGGCGTCCTTTACGTTGACGACAGCAATATTGTCCAAATCATAGATCAACTGAAACTTATACTTCTTTTGATTGCGATTAGCGTTTGGGCCGAGAATTGACGACACGATTAGGCCGTCGTTGAGAAGTATCGCAAATATGGGTTGAATTGGTTTATAGTCGTTGACATCCAATTCCATGAGTTCTCCCGAAAACAATACCGACGATCGGGTTCTGGTCTCCAGAATACTAGCGCTTCCCTCAATCCGTTCCAACAAAGCGGTCAACTCTTTGGACACGACGGGCGGCGGACCTCCCGTTTGTTGGGCAACAACAGCGCCGCCCCTTTGGATCACCAGTTTGTCCGTCTGTTCCTTCACTCTGTCCAACGCCTCCTTCTTCTCGCTGGCGGTGAGCGCCGGTCGCTGTCCACCGATGGACACGTCCAACAGCGACGACATGTGGTTCTGTTGATCGGTCAAGAGGTGTGACAACTGAAACATCTCGTTCTTCAGGTATGAGATCTCTTTCGCCGTTTCGATGAAAAGCGAGTAATTTTTGTACACATTCTTCTTCAGCTGAGAGTTGGTGTCGTCGGCCAGACTCTGGACCTGCTTTCTGGCCACCAGAAGGCCGTCGATACTGACCGACGCCTTCGACGTGATCTCTTTGACCAACTCTTGCGGATCAAACGATTGCGACGACATCTTCACCGTTGAGATGGTATTCATTATCACTCTTTGAATGTGTTTCGCAAAACACTAACACTTGTAATGCATTTGTGTTTATGTTTTCATTTCATACGAAACTCCCATTCAATGCAATTCAACCCATAATTACGTTCAGTAAGTGTTGAGTGAATTAGTGGTGAAATGTATGGCAAATGTTTGCCATAATTGCGGACATAATATATGGACATAAAGTGAACGCCAAATGACAACACGAGTGGCGAACGCGTCGATCGATTCCATACGGCGTTGCGAGCGTTGAATCGCCGCCTAAAGCGAGCGATGCATTCGTTGTAAGCATCGAGTGATGTGTTGTCATAAATAGCGGCGATTTTTTGTTTGCATTAGTTTTCGTATTTGCAATAAATTTAAGCCACGTTTGCATTGACTGTGACTTCACTTCACTGTGAATTGGATCTGACTTTTGGCTATCGATTTGACGGTTATTTTAATGATTTTCTTAGTGTTGAAATCATTAGAAGAAGTATCATCTGAGCCAAAGTCATCGTCAGCCATGTTAACCAAGTTCGAGACCAAGTCGGCCCGAGTCAAGGGAGTCGCCTTCCATCCCAAGAGGCCGTGGGTTTTGGCCAGTCTTCACAACGGACTCATCCAGTTGTGGGACTACAGGGTCTGCACTCTCATCGACAAGTTTGACGAACACGACGGACCCGTTAGGGGTGTCTTCTTCCACAACCAACAGCCGCTCTTCGTGTCCGGCGGTGACGACTATAAGATTAAGGTATGCGGCGATGGCCACCGGTTTGCCTGCCATTCATCGCCTGACAACCGATTGTCTCTTCCCCTCAGGTGTGGAACTATAAGTCCCGGCGCTGTATATTCACTCTCTTGGGTCACTTGGATTACATCCGGACGGCGTGTTTCCATCACGAGTACCCGTGGATTCTCAGCTGTTCCGACGACCAGACCATTCGCATCTGGAACTGGCAGTCGAGGACATGTATTTGCGTCCTCACCGGACACAACCATTACGTGATGAGCGCTTTGTTTCATCCGAGCGATGATTTGGTGGTATCGGCCTCTTTGGACCAAACGGTCAGAGTTTGGGACATCTCTGGTCTACGTAAGAAGAATGTGTCTCCAGGACCCGGAGGAATGGATGAACACATGCGAAATCCGGGCCATACGGATCTGTTCGGCACTTCGGACGCCATTGTAAAGCATGTGTTGGAAGGACACGATCGGGGCGTCAATTGGGCCGCATTTCATCACTCGATGCCACTCATCGTTTCCGGCGCTGACGACCGGATGATTAAATTGTGGCGAATGAACGACTCGAAGGCCTGGGAAGTGGACACCTGTCGCGGCCATTACAACAACGTCTCGTGCGCTGTGTTTCACCCGAAACAGGACCTGATTCTGAGTAACTCAGAGGACAAGAGTATCCGTGTGTGGGATCTGACAAAGAGGACGTGTTTGAACACATTTAGGCGAGAGAACGACCGGTTCTGGATTATGGTCGCACACCCGACACAGAATCTGTTCGCCGCCGGACACGACGGAGGAATGATTGTCTTCAAACTGGAGCGCGAAAGACCCGCTTTTGCCATTCAAAACAATCTTCTCTATTACGTTAAGGAGAACTTCTTGCGTCGGCTGGACTTCACGACCGCCAAAGACATACCGTTAATGCAGTTACGAAATCGGGGCCGCAATCCTGTCTATTCCATGTGCTATAATATGGCGGCCAATGCCGTACTCCTGACCACCAGAACCGCAAACTTGGAGAACAGTATTTATGACTTATATGTGGTGCCGAAGGACAGCGACGGACACAATCCAGAGTCACCCGAATCTAAGCGAGCGTCCGGTTTGACCGCTGTTTGGATAGCGAGAGACAAGTTTGCAGTCTTAGACCGAACGCACTCTATTGTGGTGAAGAACCTGAAGAACGAAGTGACCAAAAAGCTGACGACTCCGGCGTGCGATGAGATCTTCTACGCGGGCACTCGTATGCTGTTATTGCGCGACGTCGAGGGTCTGGTCCTGTTTGACGTACAACAGGGCCGCTCATTGGCCACCGTTAAGACACCAAAAGTAAAGTTTGTTGTCTGGAACGGAGACATGACTTATGTGGCCGTCTTAAGCAAACACCAGATCACGATTTGCAACCGACGCATGGATATCATGTGCACCATTACGGAGACCACGAAAGTCAAGTCCGGCGCTTGGGATGACTCCGGAGTTTTTATTTACACCATTTCTAATCACATTAAGTATGCGTTAACTAACGGCGACTACGGAATCATCCGAACCCTCGATCTTCCCATTTATATCACACGAATTCGAAACAATTCGGTGTATTGTTTGGACAGAGAGGCCAAACCCAAAGTGATGACAATAGATCCCACCGAATATCGTTTCAAATTGGCTTTAGTTAACCGTAAATACGATGAGGTGTTACTTATGGTGAGAAATGCCAAACTCGTCGGTCAGTCGATCATCGCTTACCTCCAGAAGAAGGGATATCCAGAAGTGGCGCTTCATTTCGTTAAGGATCAGAAGACTAGATTCGCGTTGGCCTTAGAGTGCGGTAACATTGAGATAGCGTTAGAGGCGGCCCGAAGTCTCGACGACAAGATCTGTTGGGAGCGTTTGGCCGATGCGGCGCTTCTTCAGGGCAACCATCAAGTGGTGGAAATGGCGTATCAGAGGACCAAAAACTTTGACAAATTGTCTTTCCTGTATGTCGTGACCGGAAATCTGGAAAAATTGCGAAAAATGATGAAAATCGCTGAAATACGTAAAGACACTTCCGGTCAGTTCCAGATCGCGCTCTTCTTGGGTGACGTTCACGAGAGGATCAAAATATTACGCAATTGCGGTCAAAACTCTTTGGCCTATCTCTGCGCCGCCACTCATGGCGTCTACGACGAGGCGGACGAACTCAAAGAGACCTTTGGTGACAAACCTCTGCCCACTCCCGACCCGAATGCAATCCTATTACAGCCGCCGCCACCGATCGCTCCGTGCGAAGAGAATTGGCCACTCCTGACGGTCTCCCGCGGCTTCTTCGAGGGCGCGATGCATGCGCTCAAAGGCAAGACTGGAGCTAATATCACGTCCGCCACTGATATCATTGCGGACGACGACGAGGTTCAGGGATGGGGTGAAGACGACGACCTGGACTTAGATGACGACGGAATCGAAAACATTGATAAAGAAGGCGGTGAAGACGGCGAAGAGGGCGCCGGTTGGGACGTTGAAGACGCTGACATTGATTTGCCTGAATTAGAGTCGGGCGCCGCCGCGGGTGTGGCCGGAGATGAGAACTATTTTGTACCGCCGACTAAAGGGGTTCCGCCGACCCGTCATTGGGTCAATAATTCTAAGTTAGCGGTCGATCACGTGTTGGCCGGTTCTTTCGAGACAGCCCTTCGTTTACTTCACGATCAGGTATTGATTGCTTTGTTTGGTGTCTCACAAGTGATAAGACATACTGAATGTTGATTTCATTGATAGGTCGGTGCCGTTAACTTCGAACCCCTGAAGCCATTGATTTTGACGATATATTCGCGATCGAAGACCGCATACCAGGGATTGTCATATCTCTCGACATTGCATTGCTATCCACAGCGCAATTGGCGCGACGCCGGACCCAAAGGCGGTTTGCCTGCCATTGGGTGCAAACTTTCCGATTTAATACAGCGCTTACAGACCTGCTATCAGTTGACAACTGGCGGTAAATTTCAAGAAGCGGTCGAAAAGTTTCGGTCACTTCTGTTGAATGTATTGTTTTTGGTGGCCGACACCCGACAGGACATCACCGAAGCGGAACAGTTGTTAGAAATCTGTCGCGAATACACATTAGGCCTGATGTTGGAGTTGGACCGCAAAGCGATGGCAAAGGAGACATTAGAGCAGCAGAAGAGGTCGTGCGAAATGGCCGCCTATTTTACTCATTGCAAACTACAGCCAATACATCAAATGCTTACCTTAAGAACGGTTTTGAATCTGTTTTTTAAACTCAAGAATTATCAAACGGCCGGCGCTTTCGCCCGACGTCTCCTAGAATTGGGTCCGAAGGCAGACGTGTCCGCACAGACGCGAAAGATACTGCAGGCGTGCGATAAGACACCGGTTGACGAACACAAACTCAATTATGATGAACACAATCCGTTCACCATTTGTGCCGCCAGTTATAAACCTATCTATCGGGGAAAGCCTGAGGAGAAGTGTCCCTTATGTCAGGCCTCATATCTGCCCCAATATAAGGACTCGCTGTGTGTGGTCTGCAATGTGGCACAAGTAGGCAAAGATACTATTGGTCTCAGACTAAGTCCCCTTCAATTCCGATAATCAACTGATCAATTGGTTTCTCTATTTTATTATATTTATCT